CTGCATGCACCGCTGTACCTAAGTTCGGATTTTGCCACACGAACTGCTCGTAAGGACTATGTCGTTGGACTAGTTAATCAGCAGTTTATAGTTCATTATTCCTCAACTATTATTACGTCGAAATAAGATCAAGGTGCCCCTGAAGTAAAGGCGGTAAATGGCGTCATTGATCTGCACTGAAATGCCGTCTGCTTGATTATACACAAAACGTAAGTAGTTTATACCCGCTGTTAAAATATTAAACAAAACAAATTAATTGTATTCAGAAGTCATAGAAATTGACCATTTAAGTAATGACATATACAACAACAACATCATTAAGAGCAACAACAAATGTTACCCCATAATAATGATACGACTCATCATAATAATAATGATATAAATAATACTTATAAACTTATAATTACCTTATGAATTATTCACTATTTTTTTCTCCATTTTTTAATTAATTTGAACTATAACTATATTATTTCTGTATTTGAAGTAAATTTTGTACATAAACAATATCATAGTATAGTATTATAGTCGTATAGTGTCAAAACTTACGTAGCGATTCCCTATGACATGTTCGTTGTGTTTTGTCCATTGTGCATGTATGTTATCCTGTTTTGTTTTGTTTTTGTAAATGTATACTAATTATGTATATAATTGTTTCGCCTTAGAATGTTTTATATATGCAGGCAATAGCCGAGACTTCAGTGCTTCTTCTCTAAAGGATGTTGTTGTTATATCTAATTAATGAAGTATGTGACAATAAAGAGGTAGAATAATATTTGTAATAGTAATAATAATGATGACAATGATCAGCTGATAACATCAGCTAACATCTACTTGTTATTACTGTACTTATGAATGGGAAAATATTGTGTTGATAGCAAAAGTGTCAAGGTTGAAATCGATCATAAACACTGTATTCTGAATCAGTTTTCAAGCTCTTTACATGCTCTGATGGAGGGTCGCCATGAAATATATATTCAACAATGGCGTAGGCAAACCCCTAATAAGTATTTATGTTAATAGTTTCAAACGACAGACTGAGTATACGGGGTTGACATAAAGTTCGATTCCAGTTTATTCAATGAGGACATGTTTTATGTAACAGTTGGTAAAGTTTAGTCAAGGCAAAGTAGGGCCTTCCCGATAACTACTAACATAGATAGTTGACAAGGTATTCATCTTTTCAGTAAAAACCTCTTTGGTCATACCTATTTTTGAGGTGAAATTATCGAATAATGCATCATGGTGATCAGATCTGCGTCCTTGATGTACTTGAGGAATAAAACAATGTTTTTGAACATGATGATGATGATGATGAAGATTAAGATGATGACAATGATGATGATGATGATATGATTGTGGTAGTAAATGTGTACTAAAAGGAAAGATTGTCAGAGAAATGCCACTTAAATATTCAGCGATCTTCATAAGAACCAATGCTTAATCAGAAAAGGGGAAACTATGAAGTAATTGTTACCTTGTGTGTTGTGTGTGTGTGTGTGTGTGGGTGTGTGTGTGCGTGTGTGTGTGTGTGTGTGTGTGTGTGTGTATGTCTGTCTGTCTGACTGTCTTTATTCAATGCACTGTTTTATTCGTCAACCAGTAACTTGGCGCAAATGAGATCTGGCAGTCTTGTTAAGATTGTCTGATGTTCAGTCATGCATGCAGAGATTCAAATGAAAATGGTACCTAAATGTACTGGGAGGATACATCTATCAAGACATATCATGAAACCCATGATTAGTTATTCATAATTAAAAAAAATACAACTTTTAACAAGTGGGACATTTTTTCTGACTCACTCTGTAGTATACAGCAGAGAAGTATTAAGATAAATGGAGATAGGAGTAAAATATCAGAGAGATTATGTTTTTGTGGCCGTTTAAACATATTTCCACGCTAATAGGACAAGGAGTATATCACCTAACGACCTGGTCAATTTGCTCCCTCAAATCTTGACCATTTATAATCGAATATGCCCGTACGTGTGTTCATGGCAAATTACGAGTGTCAGAGGGTGCGTTTATCATCCCTTTTCTGGCCGAGAATCAACGTTTTCAAACGTGTTTCAGGCAAATTTGCATGGTGATAAACGCAAGCCTGTTTTCAAACGTCTTTAGATAATAATAATAATAATAATAATAATAACGTTTTATTTACCGGGGGTAGCCACTTCAGTTATGAAACTGCTCTTCCAGCGGGCCCTGCATAACATAGTTTGTTATTACTACCCTTCTGAATCTAATATGCTGAGCGCCTAGCTAGAAGGCAGAAAGTCCCATTGTTAATCAGGGCTCCCACTTAGCCGAGTTGGAGCCTCGAGTTGTGGCGAGCTGGCGCAATCTTATGGCAAGCCGTTTTATCATTAAAACATATTTCTTGATATCAAGAAATAATTTTACGTTGTAAAGCAATGGTAATTCTTGATATCAAGAATTCGATTTCGTATTATCAAGAATTCGATTTCGTGATATCAAGAATTGAATTCTTGATATCAAGAAATATGTTTTAATGATAAAACTGCTTGCCATAAGATCGCGCCAGCTCGCCACAACTCGGCTAAGTGGGAGCAGGCACGTAGCCAGAATTTTTTTTTTTTTTTTTTTTTTTTGGGGGGGGGGGGGGGCACATACATGTAATCGATCGAGGAAAAAAAAAGGGGTCTAAAAAAGTTCAACCGATCTTGAAAATTTAGGGGGGCACGTGCCCCCCCCCCCCCGTGGCTACGTGCCTGAGTAGGAGCCCTGCTTTATAATTCTTTGGTATGACTCGGCCGGGTTCGAACCCACTACCTCCCGTTCATGCGAAAAGCCCTTGCCTCCCCCCCCCCCAACAAGCCTAAAAGAGAGAGAAGGAAGTGAAGGGAAAGGGAAAGAGGAGAGAAAGGGAAATATCAAAAAAAAAGAGAAAGAAAAAATACTTGTTATGCCTTTTTTTGTAAGTATATACTAAAGAGAAATAGAAAGAAAGAGAGAAAGAATGAATAGTGACCTGCCAGTGTCACACAATAATGAGGTATCAAAATATGCTCTTCTGACCGTGTTTAAATGCCTAAAAAAACTAGACTTCCGGGGGCTCTGCCCCCTTGACCCCACCAGGAGCCCTAAGGCGGAACCCTGAATGCTTTTCTTCTTTCAATTGATATAAGTACAGGCCACCGTCGGGTGTATTGTCGTACTGATGTATCTGACCGTTATGAAATGCCCCCTGGTCCCCACGCCAATTAGTGTCCTGCCAGTGAAAGAGAGAAAGAATGAATAGTGACCTGCCAGTGTCACACAATAATAAGGTATCAAAATATGATTATCTGACCATAATTAAATGCCTAAGATCCCTGAGCTGCTGGGGGCTCCTCCCCCTCGACCCCACCAGGGGGAGGGGGTGGGGGTGTCTAAGGCGGGCCCCTGAACGATTATCTTACCGTTATACAATGCCTCAAATCCCTGAGGTTCAGGGGACTGCGGATTTGTTTGTGTGCCTCCCCTCCCCAAACGTTTAGGCTCATTACGCCACTGCTGGTCACCATAACGTACCAATGTTTGGCCTGCATAATTTCAAAATCCCCCCCCCCTCCCAAAAAATAAAAAAAAAGAAATACTGGATCCGCGCCTGCATGAGCGTGCAGCTGCATCTCTTTGTTTAGGCGTTCCACTTGGTGTTTGTGAGCTCTTTCAACTTCTGCATCGGCAACATTCATGTGTGTATCAAAAAATGCCTTGACGTATGCTGTGTAGTCGTTGGAGTCACCTTCAACATCCTCCGGAATTCCATGAATCACCACGTTGTTTCGCTTGCTCCTATTTACGAGATCCACAACATTCTGCCTCATCTCATTTACATAATGCTGTGCCTATTCACAATCAATATGATAATATTTAACAATGCGTGCGACCATTTGAGACATTTTTATATTTCTTTCAGTTTTCATAACTTGACCGCTTTCAATTGGAATTCCCAACGCCGTGTGTTACTACTTCTTCGTACGTATGCCCTACGTGTCAGGTTGTCGACATTTGAGAACTATCCCACTTTCTTAACTCAAGCAGGTTTAATTAGATTTGGCAAACTAGGTGATTTTCATGCAATCAGAGCCGGACGGTTACGAATTCGGCTAGAACTATTATTCAAAAGATTCAAGTAGACCTCGCCGTTATCACAGTTTACACCAATTTGAGCAGCTGCACTCACCGCTGTACTTAAGTTCGGATTTTACCACACGAACTGCTCGTAAGGACTATATCAAAAGGTAAACCAGCAGTTTATAGTTCTGTCGAAATAACTGATATTATGTAAAAATGTGTAGAACTGGTGAATATGCATGTGACACCTGTTCTACACATGTTTACATAATAGCAGTGAAGGGATGTTCCTTTGTCTACCTGAGGAACTGTATATTTAGTCCTCTTTCTTTGTCCGTCATGTTCAAAGATATGCATGTATATCGTCGATTGAAATCTAAAAGATTTGTAATTGTAGTCAACATGGGCAGTTGAGTACGTTGAGACGCATGATCAGTCGGCGTTCGTCGTGTTCTCGTCCACTCAATCTAAAAGTCCCTAGTCTTACGCTTAGAACTCACGCATGCGTTTCAATAAATTACACGAGTTTCCACTACTTCTCTATCACCTCCCTGCGTAGAGTTAGGGTCAGATTTGTAACCACATACCTCTATGTTAGGATCATCGATGGGTGTGGCGCATCCCTCATTCGTTTTAAAATTGCCGCTTTCTCCACGCACTTCGTCGTCTGAAGACGGAGTTCTCAGTCGCTTAAAACTTAGCTCCGTTTGTAGCTATGGATAATAAGGCTTGTAAACCTAAAACCAGTAATAGAGGCTCACACACTTAGTTTTCTGCTCTCTTTTTTGTGTCTCTTTACAACAGCATCAAGGGCGCCTTACAACAACAACAATGGCTCCAATTACACATCTAAATGATTCCCAAGATCCGTGGCGGTACGCCACAGTTCTCAGTAGGTGTCTAGTCCTCTTTGTGGATGGCGGGATGGCTAAATCGTTTGGAGTTCTCATTCCCGAGATGGTGGACCGGTACGATAGTGACTACAAGACAATTGGCTTCATATGCAGTCTGCATTCACTGATGTTCATGACAGGTAATATAATACATTTGTATTTCCTTTTTTTAAATTCCAATTTTTTGTCCAATATTGGAAATTTGTTTCCTCACATTATATAAACGTACAAAGGATCAAAATAACTTGACATACATAATATATATCATATACTATGACATAGAAATCCTTCAGAATATTGCTATACAGTAGTTTTCTTACGTTATTATAAACAAAGTAAGTGAAAGCAGGGACGTGATAGAGAAGGACTGGAATCAAGCCGCTCTTCTTTGACCCCAAGCTCCAGGCCGCCGAAAAGTTATGCGCTAATCTGCAACTTGACGAGATGGTGAGATAAAAGAGCGCATGAATTTCAGGATTTAGAATTCCTACATCAGAAAATGGTATCACAGCAACTGTTCGCTGTCCCTGTCAATGATTTCTCATCCATTGTTGAATGTGTAAAGAGGAGAACAAGCGAACACAACCTTGTGTAATTTCATCCTTTTTTAAACTTCAAAAATACAAAAAACACGCAAAAACACCCCAAAACACGCATTAGCAAACTTAATGTCATTGAAGATTGTAAATCATGGATCAAATAACGGGACATTAAAACATGCACAAATCAGCGCATTATCCAAAACTATTGAGTTTTTGTCAGGATGTAATTTTTCTTTTACCAACTCTGGTACACAAATTATAGGAACGACGGAGTTCTAAATTTGAAAATGTGTTTGATGCACTATTCCCAATACAATGCCCATATAAAGTTTTTGATTTACACTGAAACTTTGCCTGTAATTCAATATTTTGTAATAAATGTAAAACTGGTGCCTGGCTTCCGAAAGTTCCCGCAGTGGAAGCGTGGTTCGGAGCATGGTACTTCAAAGCCATGTGAAATGTTACACATCCCATTGTTACGCTTTTACTCACGAATGCGTTTGAATAAATTACAAGAGTTTCGCCGGCTTGATTCCAGTCCTTCTCTATCACGTCCCTGGTGAAAGGAAGTGTTCGAGTGAACGGGATGGCGGGACTCGAACATTAGCTATGTTCAGACGTGGCCTCCTAGTCGGCGTAAGTTTTTCCGTGAAGTAATAAACGTTCCATAAATATTTGACTTAAACAATTTGTTGTCCATACGCTCTTACTCAGATCAAGTTGCCACGATTAAGTTAATAGGACCTACGACCCAGTATATTTGTTTCTGCTTCTCAGATGATATCCATTTATATCGGTAATACCAATGAATATCGTTTTCTTGCACGTGAACGTATAGGAAATTACAGAATACCTAAAACTAAGGAAAAAACATAACATTATTTGATCTCTAACACTCACCGTCTGTTGTAAGTGAACCAACGTTATATGTACTATATATTCGTTCTTACAAGTGTATTTATATACTGTGGAGCAAAACTTGGACATGTAAACACAAATTAGTTGTAAAAATGAAACAATACTTTATAGCCAGAATTAGAATGCTTTGTTAATAATTGCCGAATAAGTCTACAATTATGAAGCATGTGCCTCTCCATCTTGTGGCACAACAACATTTAGACATGCAGCATCATACTTGTCGTTGTGATTTTTTTTAAATCCATGTATATTTATTTTTTATTTTTTAACCCCAATAGCTCCCATTGCTAATGTTCTGCTTAAAGTGATGACGCCTCGAAACTTAGGAATGTTCGGTGGACTACTGGCCGCAATATCTATGATGTGCGCCCCGCTTGCAAACTCAGTCTTTGAACTCGGTATACTGATATCTTTAACAGGTAAGTAGACGTGTAATTCCTGGATAACAATAGTTCTTTGGATCAACGTTATGCTATGGTCACAAAACATGACGTCATTAGGCCTACTTCTCCTTGTCTCTCTGTTCCACATATAATAATAATCATAATAATAATAAATAGTAATAGTAATAGTAATACTACTACTACTAATAACAATAAGTATAATAATAATAACATAATTCGGGTGAAGGGGGGGGGGACATGGGGGTTCTTGCTTTGCAAAACAATTTCAGAGGGCTTAACCCCCTCCCCAAACCGCCACTGTCCTGCTAACTATACATTACCCTCTATGTTTATTCTTTTAAATACCTCTTGTTGCTTAATGGATATGCCATGATAGCAATCAGTCAACGGGCCATGCATGTGAGGAAGAAACTTAGCCGCGTGTATAGGCCTATGTATAGTATCTTAAATCTTTATGAAGACTGAATTGTAATTAGATTAACCATTTTCGATTTACCTGTTACCTTTTCATTAAATCTTACTGGTTAGAGCTATAAAATACCCCAAGATATTTCCCCTTTTTTAAAAACTTGATTGTGATATCTTCCCGGAACTTTGTTTGAAAACAACCCATCTAAGGAATTCGAAATAGCACAATCGTATCTGTTGGAGAGGGGGTTTTAAGGGAAACCTCACCCCAAAGAATAAGTGTAGGTATTCTGAAAAATGAGATGTATTCCTGCCCTTTAATGTACAATATTCCTCACGAAAATGTACAAGAGATATATAAATGAAGATATTCTGGGCATGATGTGATGCCTTTTGGCATGACATGGGTGCGGCCATTTTCTTGAAAATGTGACGTACCATGTAAATGTAAATGATTTATTCCTAATAGATCTAGATGATAGTATACATTCTCAGATTTTATTGAATACTAATTTGCCAGTGTTTGTTTTGCGTGACTGCCTAAGGGGAGCCTTCCAAAGTTGCGACTGTGCCCGGACGCGTCGGGGCGCGATGAATAGAACAGTCGCGTCCCAAGAGACGCATTGAGGCGCAAAGGGGCGCGAAGGGGCGCAATAGTCACCCTCACCTGATTCTTGCATATGAAAAGAAACTGTCTATTGTTAGTATAAACCCGCTCTATTCTTCTTGCGCCCTTTTGCGCCCCACCAGGCGATGGAAGATTATCTCTCCCGTCATTGTTCTCGCTCGTGATGCGCGGTACAGCTTAAACTTGATATACAGAAAGTATTTGTCGGCCAAAGCCTGTCTTCCCCTCCTCCGGTTTTCGTTCTGATAAACTTTCCATTGTTTGTAAAAAAAAAAATGATGTATTCTTCTCGCGTCGCGATCTATTCTTCTCGCGCCGTTTTGCGTCGTAACGGGCGGGGTATTACCTTTCCAATCATTGTGGCGAAGCTTTGCGATGTACATTACTACAGCACAGCATGAACTTGTCTGGTGGGATCGTCTTTGTTTTGGGGGGCAATCAACACACTCGTTCATCTTGATCAGAATAAATTATGATTTATTTTTGTTGGGTTTAATACGCCTCCTTTTAATTTTTGTGACGACTGTATGAAATGTGAAATAAAGATGACTATGTACGATTAATGGTTGGTTAATTGCGAGCTTAATTGTCCCCAACAACAAACAATTGAAGAGGAATGATGTGAATGACTACATGTATGCGGTTATAGTCGGCAAATTGATTACTGTTTGGGTCGCTTGTGTATGTTTGTAATTTGAATGATTATCAACATATTTGTATAATTCCCACATCGCGATATGATTCTAGCGTCGTATAATGGACAAAGGAATTATCTTTCTCTTCCGTCATTCATATTCACGCTACGCGTTGCACATCGCCACAGCCTGAGCTTGGAAGAATTTATATTTTGTCAGTCAAATCCTTTTTTTTTCTCCTCCCATGACTTGGTTCTAATAAATTGAAGGTTTGCTTATTAGGGATAAGAAGGATAACATCAAACAAACGATTTACTCAAGATGACGCTCTTTTCATTTCACCTCGCTGTTTGATAAAGCAGAGTTTTACGGAGCGAATACAAAAGAAAAGTTCGCTCTAAGGCAAAATAATTTTTTGTTTATTAGTGTCCTGTTTTCTCGAAAACTAGGAAGGAGGAGGCCCTCTCTTTTTTTTTTTTTTTTCAAAATGGCCGCTCAAAATGGCCGCTCGGTATATTTTCCCTGACAGTCGGGCTATTTTTCAAGATGGCCGCCGACATTTTTTAACTTTTAAACAAAATCAGTAATAGATCCATTTTAGTATTGTTTTTCATGTTTTTTTTTCAAAAATTATTTAAAAAAATAAATTAAATAAAATACAAAAATAAAACAAATTTCCCCCCCCCCCCCCAAAAAAAAATAGGAGGCTGCCCCAAAAAGGAAGCGGGCGGGGACGCTAAACATGTATATTTTGTTAAGTGGCCTCAGGGGGAAAAAAAAACATAAAACGCCGTGGCAGGATTTCACGCCCGAGATTTGCCTTCGAAAATTGCCCGTCCAAAAGGCGTTTTAAATCATAATAATTCCATAGCTCTTTTTAAAAGTGGAATAAATAGAAAAAAGACAAAAAGAAAAAAACATTAATCAGTTCATGATGATAATTTATCATTCGACTTCTACTTTGCGCTACATGTACTAAATGATCGCAAAACGGGCAGGGACACAAATACAAACATTGATTTCTGCTCTAACACTATTCGAAACATTTATTCGTAGATTTGTATAATTAAGTGGTGAAAGTGAAATTTTGAAATCTTAATGCACAGATACAAAAACATACCAAACATGTTTCGATTCTTATTCTAAAAAAAAAAAAACGGCAAATTTTAAAAGATCTTTTTAAAAGGAGGGAGGCGCTATAGCCCAGTGGTAGAGCAGAGCAGCTCGTAACCGGGAGCTCCCTGGTTAGAAACCAAGTCGATATGCTATGGTAAGGCATAACTCAACATTACATTTCGTTCGGAGAGGATCTTAAACCCGCCGGTCCCCTGTTTGCCTAATTCAGAGCATACACATGCTTCATATAGCAGTCAGGAAAAAAAAAGCGAACGGTACAGAAAGCTACCTTTTATGGATAGGCCTAAATTGAAGGTTTGGCTTAACTAGGGAGAAGAAGGATAACATCAAACAATAGATCTACTCATGATGACGCTCTTTTCATCTTACCTCGCTGTAAGATAAAGTAGAGTTCTATGGAGCGAATACAAAAGAAAAGTTTGCTCTAAAGGTAAAAACATAGAATGCCGTGGCAGGATTTCATGCGGCCGAGCAAGGCTATTGTTTGATCGCTATAATTGTCCGACTTGCTATAGATTCTTGTTTAGCTACACATTAAGGTTGCGTATTATGTGTGTGTGTGAGGGAGGGGGCGGCGAAGTGAACGGCCGGACCAAAATGGCAGAGGCCAATCAAGAGGGCTCCGCTCGCTAGTTATAAGGACCGCTATTCATTGGACAACTATTCATGAAGACCGCTATTCGTAATTTGAGAACATGGTCATTATGTATAAGGGTCATGAATTCGTAATACGACATCCCCCCTCCCCAAAACTAAATAAATAAATAGAAAACATGAATAGATTAATAAACTTAACTAATGATACAATAACAAATAATGCCCGGTAATTGGGAATAGCCGCCTATGAGCGGAACAATGGGCGCAACAACTATTAGCTGCTCAAAGAGCTGTCTTTTGTCATTGCGTTGCAAAAACAAAGTGCTTTTAAAAGTTACATGTACTATAATATCCGTATGCTATATAACACCCAATGTGAACATGACGTGTTCAGGCCTTATAACTATATACAGTGCACGTTAAAACAAAAGACTTTACTAGCGCTAGCTAACAATTATGAAACGTCAAAATGTCACGAACATTGACGATAACAAATTGTTACGACAAATGCCACCACCAATACAGTTTCTTCGCGAAGAAATATTCGATCGAATTTCATGTTTGGAACAGATAGGCGATTTCGAATTGTTCCATCTACCGAAACGTTTTGATGATGCTGGCTCCCGACAATACGATTAGCATTATTGTAATATCTTTAATTTGCAGATGTTTGTTTGTTTTGTATGACATATTTATAAACACCCTATACGCTTATTTCAAGCAGAATCTTTCAATCTCTTTGATTATAAGTATCATTTTTAAATCACGGGTATTTAAATACAATAGCTGATTTTGCGAAGATTTAGAGAACCTACGTTTCTATTCTTTAAATCGATCTTGCATGAGAAAGAACAGAGTGATGATATAGATATATGACCTATTTTGATCGGATGACAGAACAAAATAAATGTAATATGAAACAAATAATGTGTCAAAACATACAGAAGGAATACAATTATACATATCGTTTTTGTTTTGTTCGTGAAGAAATTAATATAATACAAGTATTGAACACATTAATGAACATAAATGAACAATCATGCCAACTTCAACACAACTTCGATGTTTGGGAGGGAAATAAACAATCAGAACAACAATCTAAATCAATGGCTTGTACGTAAAATAATAATAAAACATATCAGTAGCCAAAGTGAAAATTTTAGAGTCAAATCTTTCAAGACGAGAGCGGACACACACGCGGGGATTACATGAATAACTAATGCGTAGGAACGGGCGCGAAAGCTTTTCAAATTCACAAATTCACAATTCACAAAAAGCGCTTCGCCTTTAAGCGCAGCCCCCCCCCCCCATCCCCAATGAGTGTTATGTAGGGTACGCATATGCATTTTCCCTCCTTTTGAAAACAGTTCCTTAAGTCCAGTGTGTAAAGTCAATACGGGCCGGATTTGTGTGTACTAGCAGGGGCGGATCTAGCTTTTTGCTAAGGGGGGGGTTGACCAAAATAATGACGATGCGGAGCATCGTCCACGAGCCGCGAAGCGGCGAGCCGATTTTTTTTGGGGTGTTTATTTGAACCCCGTAAGTGATGTTTTCCTGGCATCTATTAACACAATGGAGACCATAAAAAGCAGTGCATGATAACGTCTTTT